TGAGCCCAGGAGTTGGAGGTTGCTGTGAGCAGTGAAGCCATAGCACTCTACCCAGGGGGACAGCTTGAGACTCTGTCTCAAAAAAAAAAAAAAAAAAATTTACATGTTAAATAACTCATCTATTTACTTTATTTATTTTTAGCTTATAGTCGCAACAACATGTATGGGAATAAATCATCCAGTATTTTCCCGTAAAACTTTTGATTTCTGTATTGTGGATGAAGCCTCTCAAATTAGCCAGCCAGTTTGCCTGGGACCACTTTTTTTTTCTCGGAGATTTGTGTTGGTGGGGGATCATCAGCAGCTTCCTCCCCTGGTGCTAAACCAAGAAGCAAGGTGGGTAGACCTTCAGTTTTCATTTTCAACTGGATTCTTTTTAAGGGACAGTTTCAGTATTTACAGGGATAAGCTTGGATTTGATTTGTTGACAGAGCTCTTGGCATGACTGAAAGCTTGTTCAAGAGGCTGGAGCAGAATAAGAATGCTGTTGTGCAGTTAACTGTGCAGTACAGAATGAACAGGTATTTGTAACATTATTCGCTACCAGCGGCTTTTATGTTTGTTTACATCTACAAGAACTAAAATTATTTTTTGTCATTTCCTTAGTAAAATTATGTCCTTAAGTAATAAGCTGACCTATGAGGGAAAGCTGGAGTGTGGATCAGAGAAAGTAGCCAATGCAGTGATAATCCTCCCTAACTTTAAAGATGTGAAGCTGGAACTGGAATTCTATGCTGATTATTCCGATAATCCTTGGCTGATTAAAGTACTTGAACCAAACAATCCTGTTTGTTTTCTTAATACAGACAAGGTAAAAAAAAATTTTTTTTCCTTTGGTTTTTCTCTTTCTGTTGCATTATTTTGCATTTCTCAGTTTGCATTAGTGTATGATCTCTTAAAACTTTGCAGTTTGGCCGGATGTGGTGGTTCACACCTGTAATCCTAGGACCCTGCGAGGCCGAGGTGGGTGGATTGCTTGAGCTCATGAGTTCAACAGCAGCCTGAGGAAAAGTGAAACTGTCTCTACTAAAGTAGAGACGTGATGCCACAGCATTCTACCCAGGGTGACAAAGTCTCAAAAAAAAAAAAAAAAACAAAAACTTATCAGTTGAAAGGCCAAACTAGTATATGTATTTCTCTTACTTCAACATAAAAGAGTCTTTTCTTTCTGTGGGCCCAGTATCTTTGGAGGAGGTTTATTTTGCAGGTTGATGTTTGTCAAAATTGACTTTGGAAGAAGGAAAGCCACAAAGTGAGCTCAAGGGCATAATTATATTTCCTAGGAAAGAAATTGACTCTGAAACTATCAAAGAGCTAGATTTACAAGTGGACATAAGATATAGTAAATTGCTATCCTTTTAAAGACTTCTTAAAATAGGCCTTATTTTTTCCAGCCATTTTAGGTTCACAGCAAATTTAAGTGGAAAGTACTGAGATTTGCCATCTATTCTTGCCCCCGCATTTGCACATAAAGACTCCCCC